TCCCCCACTTATATATTGTTCGAGAGCCCAGTCGGTTTAGCATGCAACTTACTTTTATTGTGGATACGAGCAAGGTTGCTCCAGAAGACTTAACTATTGACAATCTTGGTAATTTGTTGAATTGTTCGATCGTGTTTTTATTTTTTTGAAATAGGCATCTGCAGTCTTTTTGCGTGGTGGTTATCTTCAGATGCTAATTCCGCTAATTTTCAATGGATGTGCTACCTAAATTTTGGAGTTTCTTCTATGAAGTTACTAATAATCATCACTTTCAAGTATTTTTGTTTGCAGTTGTAGAGATTTTTTGAGTAGCTTCTGTTCTCCACTGTTTTTTCTATTTACGCTATCGTCTCATTCATTTGTTGATCCGTTTTCAAAGTTATATATATTTCTCTCATATATTTCTCCTTGACTTTAGCAGCCACAGCTGGCTTATGATGAATGTCTCATTATAGTTTGTACAAATTTTACTTTTCAAGTTTTTTAGAGGTGGTGGCAGTGTAATACTTTGGAACACTCGTTTGGGTTGTTTAATTGGGATTTGTGTTAGTAGTTAAATGAGTACTGAAAATGAGTGACATTTTGTCCGCGGGCGAGACGGTTTTACTGTTTTTACTTGTTTTTTAGGCCAGTGGAACGCATTGAATGGTCGCCGAATGACAGTTAGACGTTATTTTTACGATCAAAATCGGCAACGTTGTCTTGAAGGCAACCATGAATTTGTTGTGATTAAAAAGACTTTTGTTCATCCAAACTCTATTCCAGATGGTGGGGTACGCAAGATTATATGGCAAATTAAAAGTGAAGATGCTTACTCCAGGTTCCTTTTTGCTCAAAGTAGAGGTGTTTAAAAAACTTTTTTGGTTTTTTATGAATACATTTATCGAAAAAATGGAGTTAGCTTACGCTTGCAACTTTCTTTAAAACATTTTTTTCACATCTGTATTTTTAAAAATTTTAAAATTTTTTATCTTTAGATATGCTTTAATCACTTTTGACATCAGAGAAAAAGCTCTTGTGGATGTCCCGCAACACGTGAACACAAAAGTAAATTCTGATGTTTATGGGAGGAAGGAACACAATAGCACCGATTTCAAGAATCAAAAAGGGAACGAAAAGGCAAAGAAAGTGTATGTACTTTTTCATTTAGCATCTCTAGCATTTGATTTTGAACTTAGAGTATCGATGAACGCTCAGCTGTGTAGTACTTCAGTTTCTTTTTTTTAGGTGAAAGAGACATCTAAATGGGCATTGTTAAAGTGTTTGAAATGATTTTAGAGGTTTCTGTTCTGTGTCATTTTGCGGTAATTTCCTGCGCGTGTTAATTGCGACATTTAGTCTGTCTACAATCATTGCTGTAGTTGTAGTGAGAAAAGAAAGCGAAACTCTGATCTGCTAATTGACCATCCCGGCGTTATGACAAAGCAGAGGCAGCGGCTAGAGGAAGATTTAGAAACTACAGCGTCGTTACCTGTTTTTGCTGACGATGAAGAAATTGGAGGAGTGGAAGAAATCTATGCAGTTAACGGGGAAGAAATGGTTGGGGTTTTAGGTTTCATATGATTTTTTTTTTTTTTTTTTTTT